TAGTCAGTAGCGAACTACCTTTGTTCAAAAGTAGCAGTAGTTGTAGCTGACTACATATTTTTGAAGTAGCTGTAGTTATAGCGAACTACAAAAATTTTGTAGTCAACCCACCCTTGGTCACGACCAGTGAGCTACTGACATTTTTCATTGCTCAAAGACTATCAAAATTCTCGTCCAATTTGAAGTCTTTGAAAAACTCACGAGCATATGTTTTTTTTTCAAATTGCACGAGAAACCATACTATTACTTATTTAATAATATACATGAAAAAATTATGCAGTCACGTGCGTAAGTCACATTCAGAAATTAAGAAACTAAGAAATTTTTTTTTCACTGTATTCCGAAAAAAGTTGCACTGTTCTCAGGCTTAGCCAATAAGAATTGAAAAATTTTTTCATGCATATTATTTTTCAGGTAATGGCCATTTGCATTATAGACTAAATTTTGATCTAGACAAAAATTTCATCACAGTTTGAAAGAGCATCACAAAATTATTAATATTCCGACGTTTCGTTGCGAAATGTTGTAAAATGCGGATAATATAGCCATGCGAAGTTTGCCGTTTTCAGTCATTTTGTGTTACGCACGGGAAATTGACAGCCCAATCGGGTGTTGGGGAATCAATTTCCCGTTTGTAATACAAAATGAGTCTGACTGAAAATTGCAAATTTCGCAAGGCTATATTATCCGCAGTTTAAAACATTTCGCAACGAAACTTTGGAATATTACTAATTTTGTGATGCTCTTTCAAGCTGTGATGAAATTTTTGTCCAGATCAAAATTTAGTCTATAATGTAAATGGTCCATTGTCTCTCAATCAGCAATTGTCACATATGGAGCCCACGGGTCACGACACGCGTGACTAAATAGACACCAGAAACAGTGTTCCACGTGTTTCTGGGTGTCGCGATAAAATGAGAGAAAAAGTTAGAAAATAAGACAAGTACATTTAGATCAAAATATTTTGATCAGAGTTAATGTTTTGACCCATTAGGGCTCTCAGCTGCAAGATCACTGTCCTTGGAGTCAGTCACTGGTAAGGTATTCATGTTCTGTCGCATCTCATCATGCCTCACTTTGGAATACATACCCGATCCCCCGATCACGAAAACATTACTGAGCCACCACAGGGGAGTTTTGATTTCTTGATACACAGACACTGCCAAAATGGTCTGTGCACACGCTTTGGCCGTTCCACTGATGTTATGAGTCAGTGGGCTGGTAACCTTAATCTGGAGGCCTGTTACATAACCTATCGCAATGCCGAACAACCCAGATAAGGTCATCACGCCCCAAAAGTAAGCACTGTTGATCATGGGGAAGTTATACATCACCTTAAACTCGCCCATAATTGCCATTAAGGGTAAGAATAAGAAGATCGCATTGAAATTGTTGTACATTTGTAATCGCCAAATGTTATTGTCGACTACTTCAAGGTTTCGTTTGGTATATATGGCGTTTAAGGATACACAGAGACTGGCTAAGATGCCAAACATGACGCCTGAGTATGACAGCTCACCCGAACTCCCTTCTTGATTAACACCGAGTAGAAAGCCACAGATTATAACAGCACAACAAGCAATGGCTTTGAACGAGGTCCTTACACCAAGCACGACAAATGTGAACATCTAGATGGTAGATGGAGATGGCATGTTTGAGAAGGACTTATTGAAGAGAAGAGAGTTTACTGAAGTGGGGGTTTAATGTATAGTGGGCTTAATGGAGATGTGACTCAATGGAGAGGAAGACTTACTGGAGAAGGGTGTTGATTGGAGAGGGGAGCTTATTGGAGAGGGGGTTTATTGGAGAGGGGTCTATTGGAGAGGGGGTTTAATGTAGGGATGAGCCGATAAGGAAAATTGCCGATTACTGAGGCCGATTATTTATAAGCCGATTATTGTAACTAATCGGCCGATTAATCGGTACTCACCGATTATTTTAAAAAGCAAGCGAAAATCACAAGATGACCAACAATGAAGTTGTAAATGAGGTTTTATTGTTTACAATACACACTTTGTACAATTAAAAACATCTTCAGTCTTGCATGTCAATAGTCAAAGTTTAGTTTTGGCAGATTATGGTGTAAAAACAAGATATTGTCAGCTATGCGGAGCTAGTCTGCTGCGTTTTTTTAGTGGAAATGTTCCCAGCTTCACCTTGCTTGAGACAAAAGACACAGGTTTTGCAACAAAATGTGAAAATCTATTCGCTTGTATTCAGTATTTTAGCATGCGATTGGCAGCTGCAGAAAAAGTCTTATGGCCGATTATTTGCCGATTATCAAGCAATAATCGGCCGATTACCGATTATTTAAAAAACGGCCGATTAATCGGCTTTGCCGATTATTTACCGATTAATCGGCTCATCCCTAGTTTAATGGAGAGAAGGGCACAATGGAGAGGGGGCTAATTGGTGTTGAATGGAGAGGGGTAAGGATTGGGAGCTTACTGGAGAGGGTGGCTTTTTGAATAGTGTGGCTTTTTGGATAGTGCGGTTTATTCAAATAGGGAATTACTGGAAAGGGGACATATTGGGAAGGTGGACTATCAGAGAAGAGTGTTGATTAGAGTGAGTGTTATTGGAGAGGGTCTCAATAGAGAGGGGTTTATTGGAGGAGGGTGTTGATTAGAGTGAGAGTTATTTGAGAGGGGGGCTTATTGAAGAGAATGACTTAATAAAAAATTTCCAGTAACCATCAATGTGAATGGAAAAAAAATGAGAACTGAAAATTTTCAGTCAATGAAGGGTTGGAATATGTTAACAACCTACATGAAAATTCACAAAATGTTTGGTATATCATGTTCAAATTTTGGTAACAGAAGGTCAACAGGGAGAGGGACTATCTAGAGAACTTGCATCACCCCTAGAGTCACATATAATTTTAAACTCATCTTACCACATTAAATACAGTTGTTAATGAACGACCAACATTGTAGAATGAGACACCAAGGTACTTGAGACAAAGATTGTTGAATGTGATCATACCAACAAATACAACAGAAAGAGACAAGATCTATTGAATGATACAAAACACAAACTAAGATGCAACTTATGTGACAGTTTTCAGTAAAGGTTACCATCATATAAACAGGTTTTTCTGAACAAAGCGGCTTGGTTGTTGGCGCTGCTGTTTCAAACGCTTGTCTTGTATTAACCCATTAAGCTGCAGAGCTTCCCCATTGATGAGTAAAATCATCTGGTATTAGACAAGTAAAAAAAATAAGTTGGGTGCATTGGGGCTCAATTATTATTTGAAATTTGTTTTTCTTTATATTTACGGCTGGCTGTGGTTATTGCTGATTATTTAACTGTACTGAGATTTGCCACAAGAAAAAAGTGGTTATTTGTTGGCAATCTAAATTCACATACACATCACCACCATGTTACATTACCTGTCTTGAAACTTTGAAGTCAATTGAAAATGCAGGAAATTTCTCAATCTGCGGATATTTGTCTCCAATAAAACTCAGGAAGTAAATACATACGACAGTAACCACACACTGGTACCAAGTCACAAACAGCGGTGCATCAAGCTAGGACATAAACATAATATTGATGGTTTGGTCCTTGTATAAGTCGCAATGAAAAATAGGTAGTGAAGAGCAATACACTCCATTCTGGTCAGTTAGATTATAAATAACAATTTTGCTCAGTGGCAAGTGACTTTCACTTAAGACCACTCATGAAAGACCTTCACTTAAAATCCTTTAATCCTTCTCAATCTGCATTTTTCTGGTGTTAATGTAACTACAGTATCTATAGACTGAGACATGTATAAAGTGTGAAGCCTGTTCTCCACTAGGCAAATTTGTTTATGTAAAGCAACTTTCTTCTTTATTGGCATCACTTTTGCTGATGTGATAAGCGGTGCCGACAACGGAAAAATATCACTTTGTACTAACAAATTTGCCGAGTAGAAAACAGGCTTACAGACAACAAAACCACCAGAAACAAGTGCATTTTACGCTTTACGATGTTAGGCTTTACTAATATGACATACACAAAAATGAGGGTCATTAGCCAAAAATCACATACTCTCCAGAAGGGTGTATTATAACAGTATCATTGTGGCAGACATACTGTCCAGGCAAGAAAGCATGTAGCCGGACACTTGTCCTTTTCATGTCGGACAGTTTCCATGTCCGACTGCTTATTTTCAGGCTTGAATATTTATTTTGTTTTCCAAATTTGCATAGATTTATAGTTAAACAGCAGGGAGTGCAAATGAATAAACAGCCAAATACGTGGCGGAGACACGGACAAATTACAAAATAAGCATCCCATTTTTCTTTACAATGTAAACATTTCTTCCCAACAAAATTCAGGCACAAAGAATAGCAAAAGGCCAAACATAGAATGGTTAGCCTTTTACTATTTATATGCACTCAATAGATATTCACAATATAAAACGAACAAAATTATGTGCACGAGTATATCGCCAAAAATAATTGACATAATTTTTGAGAACATTTAAACTACAACGACCTTAATATTTTATGTTTACAACATTCTCGTGCAAAATATAAAGCGTGGTAAAACCAAAATACCTTCAAATCGGGGCTGCTTAGAAGATACTTGTTTAAAAACACCATTGAAATAGATATTATCCTATGGGGGGAAAATGACACAATGCATATGAGCAAAATACAACACACAACAAATTGAAACACACAATTTAAGTTTTTCCCAAAACAAAAATATCTCGCTCACCAATAGGCAGTAACAACCGAGGCTATTTTAACCGTCCTGCGAAATAACGACTCCGTCATTTTTGAAGATTTTTCTGTTGTAATTTCAACTCAGTAGAAAGCATGAAAGATGGTTAGAGTGTTGAAAAATATATTCATTTATGCACACGAAGACACGAATCAATCATTCAACCATGGCGTTATTGTAAAGGCGGGGGGGCGGGGAGGGGGGAGTGGATGGGTTAGAAGGGGGGTGCGGGTCATACGGAAAAATAATTTAGGAGCGTTGGACAAAATAGCCTGGGTAGGAGATTAAAAGGATTCTAATTGATAGCCAATATCTCAATCCTAAAACCTCTATAGCCAAGGCTTAGTACTTTCCAGAAGGATCTAGTGACTCTATTCTAGCATAACCCAACCAACATGAACCTAACCATTAACCCAACATCATTCCGATCCTAACATTAACCATGATATAAAAATGTTATCGCTCGTTGGAGTTACAATTGTTTTGTATTTCACTGAGGCCCACCAAGGGGTTATGACTGACAGGCAACATTCCTTAAAAGGAGGCAACAGACTATTTAGACTATTTAAAAAAGAGCAACAAACGACAGCTTATGGGAAAAAGCAACAAATTGCAATTTCTGTTATGGTTCAAAAGTGTCAGCGACATTTATTACAATAAATTAAGTGACAAAGCAGCTACAAAAGGAGTTACAAGCCACGAGATTGGTGACAAGCAACCTAGGTTACACCCTAGGTGAGCCTCTTTACTCTACTCGTAAACCTAAACTAAACCTCAATTCTCATTATAATCCCTAATAACTTAATTCCTGCTTAATCCTAATTGTAATCGTAATCCTACAGTAATCCCAGCTCAGTGGTTAATCCTAATCCTCTGATCCTAATCTGAAACTGAAAGCAAGGTTAGGTTCACTGGGTTACGGTTCCAACAAAAGCCTGGGATTATGGGAACGGGGTTGGGTCGGTTACGAGATCATGACTCCGTTCCTAATTAACTTCCTGCTTCCTGGTTGAAATCTGGGCGTTGGAAATCGTTGAATTCCGACTTGGTTTGTGCTCTGGTTTGTCTTGTTGTTTGTGTCGTTAATCTTTGGTATCTTGGCCATGTAGTAAGAATATCTCTTTCAAGATTTGAATAAGGTGCGAAATGGGTAAATACTTGCACGTAATAATACCAGTAGTATACTTTATAGTACTGTCGTAGTCTAATATTAAATACTGAATACTGGTTTTGAAGTAGTGTGAACATGAATATTGATCGATGGTAGTAATATATAGTAATGGCTAATTTAATATGGCTTTATTTAGTAATTCATCCACAGCCTGTTGGGTGGCTCCTTCGCCTACTAATACAAAATATGTATATTTATAACGACTGAATATATTAGATCTGAAAGTGTTTTAATAGAATGGAATAATACTACGAACTATAAAAGTAAGAATATGTAAACTATGTACATGGTAAAAGATATATTTACTATACAATACTGTTACATGTAATAATAGATCGAACAAATCAGTAAATCACAAAATATCATTGACATATAAGGGAGTGGTCATTATTTATGGGGAGGGGGGGGTTGGGAAATGGGGAAAATAAGGATTGAAAACTTTTTTGACCCCCCCCCTCCAGACTGAAGGCAAACTTTTTGTGCCTCCCCCCTCATAAAAGTAGAAACGTTTCTGACCCCCCCCCCAGTGTGGATTGAAAAATTAACAGCAATGAAACAGGTGTGCGTTGCAGGTAAAGTTAGATATTAGGACAATCTATTTAATCTAGCTCATGATGTTTTACCCTGGTGAATATGATTCAACCATATATGATTAAAAAATATATATTATGTGTTACTACTTTGCAATGCAACATTTGTCTTACCATAACCCTAACCCATGACCCGTCTTCATACAGCAAAATGATTTGAACACAGGGTTTTTTTTAAGAACTTGTCTGGGGGGTGGGCATCTACAAAAAGGGACCATACTATATTGAGTGTGGAGAGATGACAGATGGTTGTTGGTGACAAAAAGTTTGGTGTGGTATCGTATGTACTAGTAGGGGGGTCTGGGGCATTTTCTGAAACAGATTTTTGGATATACAGCGTTACATTGTGCGTTGATAGACCGAATCTGATCAGTTAAGTGTACTTGCATGGTATGTTTATGTATAGTACCACAACTGGGTCACTTAGGGGATAGAAAGCTTGTTAAACTTAGTGGGTCCGACTCCCACGATCGTGAGGCGCTACCATGGTTGGTGCCGAGCAGGGAAATTTTGAAAATTTTGAGTCTCTAGATCGTTGGAAATAGCATTTTCATAGTCTTTTTCTTTGCTATTTGTGATTATAGAAATCAGAACTCTAGACATGGTATTTAAGTTCAAAAACTTTTATGACCCCCCCTTTCTCTGTGTTAAAACTTTTTTGACCCCCTATTTATAAGGGTAAAACTTCGTTGGCCCCCCCTCCCATTTCCCAACCCCCCCTCCCCATAAATAATGACCACTCCCTAAAACAGCCTTTTAGAACATGTGACACAATCATGTGATCTTTTACAAAATTAATTACAAATACTTCTTTAAGATCGAGTTTCTCTCTGCTAAGTAAATTTTAGCTTTGCTCGAGAAGTGTTCATAATTACTGCAATTTCTAATTTGATCAGCAGGTAATTTATTGAAAACCTGTGCTGCTTGGGAATGTTCCTATGTCTTGTTTACTTGTTTTGGAGCAGTTAGTGATCTTAAATTATATGAACGTACAAAGTGTTGCTTTATAGGAGAGCTAGTCCTTGATATATATCGCTTTATGGACTAATCTTAATAGAGCTGCTCCCATCGGTTAATTTTTGTAATCGATTAATCGTTGTCAACAATCGATTAATATCGATTAATCGTATTGATAATTAATTTAAATATGACAAATAATTTAAATATGACAAGCCCATGGCATGGTTTGACA